CGTCCAGGAAACGCATAGCCAGGCAGAGCTCCAACACAGACAGGGTTGAAGATATCAAAATAGTTGAAGATAGACCAGCCTGAGTTCAGGATGTCCAATATTTCACTGTTGGAAGCCCTTCCTCTTGTGTGTGCGCTCTATGGGATAAGGAATGGCTAAAACTGCTGACAGGAAGGTCAAATTTGCACCACATTGGCATAGGTGTGTGGACGACGGATGTTAGAGGCAGAGAAATGCTGATCTGCAAGGGCCATCCAAAGCCACTTGCATCTTTTTTTAATTTTGTTTTACGGCACTATTTGTCTGTTTTTTTTTTGACAGTAGGCTGACAGGAAAGGGGGTGTGAGAGAGGGGGGGAGACATGCATATAAGGACCATAGGCCGGATTCGAACCCGGCCTGTGTTGCTACACCATTTTTTCCCATATAGATAATTTTTCAAAGAAAGTTTTTTTTTAAAAACTTTCTAAAAAAAACTTTCTAACCTTTTGACTCTGTGCCATTTGCTCCTTTAGTCGCGGTTAGCAGTGAACAGCGTCACTGCAGGAGACTACAGCCGGCCGCTCCGCATCTCCAACTTCATCAATGAGCTGGACTCCGGCTTCCGTCTGCTCAACCTGAAGAACGACCCGCTGCGGAAGCGGTATGACGGTCTGAAGTACGACGTGAAGAAGATCGAAGAGGTGGTCTATGACCTGTCCATACGCGGTCTGGCCAAGGAGTCGGAATCTGGCGGTAACTAGTAGAACATGGAGGTTTGTTGGTTTGCTGTCGGAGCAGGAGGAGGAGTGTGGCAGCTTCCTCCAGCTGGGACCTCTGCAGGATTGTTGCAGGTTGGAGAACCTTACCCCATCTGGAAGTTACAGACCCAGGAATCTGCCTGGGGTCCCCAGCAGCCAAAGACAGACTGTATGATGGTGTGTCTGTGTATGCGTGCTAATGTTTCAGCATGCATTTGTGCAAATGCATGCAGGAGCGGTGGTTAAGATGGATGTCAGTCTGTCACAGAGGGGCAGCAGAGGCGGTAAAGGATCTCAGCATTCCATTTCAGAAAATCACGACTACAGGTTCTGTTTGTTGCAAGTTTTGGAAATGTGTTCTCGCCTTGTTACAGCGTCATTTGGATTCACAGTTCAGAGTCATGTTGTAAAATAAAGTGAACACTGTTGGCTTCAACCGGTTTCTGGATTAAATTTTATTTCTTTTGTTGACTTGTTAATTTTGTCAAAGCTGTTTGCTGTAGGGTTTGGTTGCTAGTCATCATAAAGCTTTTCAACCAGACGCTCATCCAAACTGGGTTCCTAAAGCCACATTTATGAAGCAAGTTTTTACACAAGTTTAAATTTCAGTGTTTATAAAATAGATAACTGTTTTTGTCACATTGTTTTTTTTTTTTTTTATTCTGATTGATAAAATACCTACTTTACGGATGATATTGAAAAAGTGAGAAGCAAAATAATTTACAGTTAATTTCAACATTTAAAACTAGTTAAATCACCTTTATTTAGGAAACTGTTGGATTTTGTGCTACGAAAATATTGTTGAGCCATATTTGTAGTTTTGATTTGTAAAAAGTGGTGGGAAAAAAAAGTCCTACATGGCTTTCTTCTTTTTTTAAATAAAATATTGCTTTCTTGAAAAAAAAGTTATTTGCACTGTGTTTATTTTCCAGCCTTCCTCGTCCTACAAAGACATCTTTGAAAGAGATCCAACAAAAACGAGCCAAAAAAACATGTTTAAAATCTTTTTAATATAATTCACAATATATTACACTAAAGAAATCATACATCAGATGTTTCAAACCAAACAGGGGAAGTAAATAAACCAAATGCAACGCACAAGGTGTTTTCTTTTTGAAATTCCTGTTTCTTTAAATCCCAGCGGCAAATTAACCTTCACATGGAGTCGAGCAGCTCTGCCCTAAACACAGTGATACTTTACTTTTTGATGCTACTTTACAATTAACATAACAGCAAAAGTTGTAAATCGTTGGTCTGTGTGACTGTAAGCCTAGTCAACACACTGTTTTTCTTAAATGAAGGAACATGTTTTTTTTTTTTTTACCAACAGATGTACTTAAGAGTAAATCTTTCTCTTAATTATAATAAAGTGCTTCCAACAAAATAAAGCCTTCATAGGTAAAAACACTAAAAAAAAGAAGGCAGTTCACTGTAAAAGGAATAATTATATTGCCTGTAAGTAGATGTGAGTGCAGACAGAGGGCAGGCTTGTCTGATGGAGAAAATTGATGCTACTGTGACAGATCTTAAAATTTGTCAGTCTTAGTCTAACAGTGATAAAGTATAAAGGCACAACAGCTCCTTGCTGGTCACAGAACACGGTTAGTAACCTGTCATGGTAACGTGGTCGGGAAGCTCGGTCCAGGAGGAGGTCGTTGGGGGAGCAGAGTTTTTCAATCTTTTATGACGGAGACAATGAAATGAGGTGACAAGAAAATGTATCACACTGGGCCACTTATTCACAAAAACGTAAAATTTAAGCTTTTATAATGTAAAATCATCACTTTGCTAAATGTAAGGACTTTGGTTTTAAGGGTTTAGGAGCTCAAATTATTTTCCCTACACTTATTAAAACAATTGTTTTTAGAAAAATACAATTGGCTGCAAGAAATACTGCTAGAATTGATTACGGTAGCTAATAAAACGAAGTACATCTATGATGCTTAAGTTGTGCAGCTCCACAGTATGCATCGATGACGTGAATGAAAAACTGCTCATGACACAAAGAGGTCAACTAGTATTAGAGACGCACCTTTCAGTATTTTCTATGGCCGATATCTGATCTGTCGAGGTGACCTTTTAAAATTTTGCACAAATTCTGTTTCTCTTTAGCAGTTATTTATTTTGAGCAGGGGTGGGGATTTGTAGACTTTTAACATGGCATTTTAAACAGTCTTTATAGAGTCTTGTATTAGCGATTAGTAAGGCTAGAAGGTATTAGTCCTTCTCAGAGACTGTACACTCACCGGCCACTTTATTAGGTACACCTGTCCAACTGCTCGTTAACACTTAATTTCTAAGCAGCCAATCACATGGCGGCAGCTCAGTGCATTTAGGCACGTAGACATGGTCAAGACAATCTCCTGCAGTTCAAACCGAGCATCAGTATGGGGAAGAAAGGTGATTTGAGTGACTT